CACTGAAATATTTACAAGTCACTAACTACATTAGATAAATAAAAAGGATATGTAAGTCATATGAAGATACACTGAAATATTTACAAGTCACTAACAACATTCATAGTACATGCATCTAGTTTATCTATGTTCGTTTTTCCCTCAAAAAGCTAAAAGAGAAATATAGTAAAAGAATTACATAAAGATCTGATTTAATACAGCCATAAATAGGAACCATTCTCCAAACTTCCACCATTTTATCTTCAATACTCATCCCAACCTCTGTTAGATATGTTTTGATGCACCCATAAAAGCACACACTTTCTTTATCAACCAGAAAATCAAAACCTGATAAAGCCCAAAATTCAGCTCAGTRAACAACARATGAAGCACAATGCCTTGAATTTTGATTTAAAATTATCAACTATGCAAACCAACAGATGCAACAAATGGGCAGACACAGGTAACAAGAAACARCAGACAAAAAAMTGGGAAAATTAGGAGAAAGTCAGTCCCAAAATAAGAAACCAGAATAGTAGCAAGAAAACACTAATCAGATCTGATCAAAATAAACCAAATCAACCAATGTTAAGAGAAGATGGAGTTGGAAACTTCTGGTGAAAAGGATAGGGTGTRTCGTGCACAAAGGGGACAGAATGCTCCTCAGGTATCAGTTAAACCTACAAAGTTGGCGAGCACCAATTCAACTCATATCCAAGACCAACCATTAGACGTAATTATGGAGGATGGAATTGGTGGACACTCATTAGGTGATAAGCATCCGATATACTGGTTGGGTTCGACAAATCTTGCAGTCTGTGCGACTGGATATGGTAAGCTGTTTTGTATACATGAGAGTTAAATAATAGTTTGCATGATATGAAGGATCGTGTGAAAATAGGAGTTAAAGTGAGAAGTGTAAGTAAGGGTTTTGGACCCTTGATCACCTTAAATCTCAAACCAACTCATGGATTGTGCTTTAGTTTGGAATTAATCCTATGTATCTCATTGCTGAATGAAAGACGATGCTTCATAACTTGTTGCCAGTTATTCAATTGACAACTTAATCAATCTAGGTAAATTGACTTTATATRCCGCGTAACGTAACTCTTATCAATTATAAGACCATCATCCAAGATTCTTATAATAGTCTTSTATTATTGCAGGGAAGACATACAAATGCTGCAACAGTAGACTTTGATATGAAGAGGATCCTATTAATCGTTGGATATGAAGATTTTGTTTAGTTTTGGTTCTAGTTTTCATATAAAAGGGCATTACTATGCAGATAGAGTTCGAATCAGTTAAGCAATTGAATATGTGGTTCTTTGAAATTGCATTACCTGAATAATTGCTTCCTTCAACTATGAGTCGAAATCAACCACCAATAATAGCAAACCAGCATATTCTTGAACTGTAAACAAAGTCAACAGAATCTCATATAAATAAAAACWTTTCTAACAAAAATCATTGAAAGACAAAACACGAATGACATTCATCTAAAATACAAATAGATTAACAAGTAATGCTTGTACTTATGTATTTGAATAGCATCAAAATTTAGAAAAGATCAATTTAATCATTGCTTAATGTTTTAAAACACCTACTTAAATGATTAGTTTGTGATTTTAGTGGTTGATGATGCTACACTACTTAACTTGGACAGCTTTGAGTTTTTGCCAGTTTTGGTTTTGGACAACTTTGAGTTTTTGCCAGTTTTGGTTTTGGACAGCTTTGAGTTTTTGACAAATTTGGTTTTGACCGATATGGGCATTTTCCTTAAACATGTATATGCGTTTGGGTTTTGCAGGACTAACTGTGGGTGTTAAAATGACTGTACAATTAAGTATCAATGTACCAACCCAGATAGAACGATCC